GACCCCGCCCCGCCCCGCCGACCCCGCCCCGCCCCGCCCCGCCCCGCCGACCCCGCCCTGCTGACCCCGAGGCCTGTGGCGCCAGGGCCCAATCAGCTGCCAGGTAAGTGCCTAGAAGGCAGCGTCTGACTGGCTGAGCGAGGGCCAGTCAGCGGCGTGCGCAGAGGGCCGTCGCCGGAAGAGCCTGGCCTCTGAGGGGCGGGGGGGAGGAAGAGGAGGGGCCTTGGGGGTCGGAGGAGGTCCCGGGAAGGGACAGGGCACAGAGGGGAGGACGGCCTGAGGGAGGAGTGACACGCCTGGGCCAGTCCCCGCTTTCATCATGAGCTTCGTCACCCCCCTCACCACGACTTAAGAGTCGCGGCGGGCACTTCCGGAAGCCCTCGAGTGTCCGGTCTGTCAGCGCGCACTCACCCCGAGCGCGTCATGACAGGCAAGTGCTCCCTCAGTCCTAAACTCTGGGCCACCACTCCACACCTGGGGGCCCGGCACCCGAGTCACCTGAGGGAAGCCGGACCCCGAGTCACCTGGGGAAGACAGACCTCGAGTCACCTGAGGGAAGCCGGACCCCGAGTCACCCGGGGAAGCCAGACCCCGAGTCACCTGAGGGAACCCGCACCCCGAGTCACCTGGGGAAGCCGGACCCCGAGTCACCCGGGGAAGCCGGACCCCGAGTCACCTGAGGGAACCTGGACCCTGAGTCACCTGAGGGAAGCCGGACCCCGAGTCACCTGAGGGAACCCGGACCCCGAGTCACCCGGGGAAGACAGACCTCGAGTCACCTGAGGGAAGCCGGACCCCGAGTCACTCGGGGAACCCAGACCCCGAGTCACCTGAGGGAAGCCTGACCCTGAGTTACCTGAGGAAAGCCCCAGCACCCCCAAATCACCCTGTCCCATAGAAGCTTGTACCAGGTAGGCAGGACAGACACCATACCTACATCATGTAAGCCCAGAAGGGCAATTCATTGTTTCACCTGAGGATGTCAGGAGTAAGTCGTCAGGAATGGATGTATCCAGATGCTCAAGGACGGTGGTCAAGGACTGTCTCCGTCTTCGGCTTTGCTTTCTTCCCCTCCTGGAGGCAAAATGACCACCAAGATGTCCAGGGGCTTACAGCCTCAACAGAAAAGGACTTTCCCTTTCCCAGTAATTTTAACAGAGTCCCAGAATGGGTTTCATTGCGTTGACTTGGGTTATAATACAGTTCTGAGCCAGCCTCTGAAACTAGCTGGCTTCACCTGCTTGGCTGGGGTTGTGGCCCCCCGCAAGGAAACAGCAGTGCTGTCATGAGCATTTGGGGGCTTGGGTGCTGTGCAGGGCAGCATCCCACATTCTGTGTTGTCAAGGATCAGCTGGGGGAGTTGAGCTCAGTGACCTGAAGCTATTGCTGTAGTGAGATAGCAATAATGGTGATTATTATGATGATATCACTTTTACCATTTCCATGTTATACATTGCTCTCAGGGAAGCTGGTCTTTGCTTTGTGTTGGTTTTATGCCCACTGGACACTCTCCATACAGTTGCCAACATTCTAGCAACTTGTTTTGGGGAGAGTGGGAAGAGTAACAGAGTCTATGCAGCCCCAAATGCTTCGTCTTCCCAGAGACAAAGCGCCCGTGTTTTTATACTGCAAGGAATTTCATTAGATGTAGAGCTTTGATGATATTTTCCTTCAGTATTCCAAGTATGCTCAGGGTGTCTGTTAAAGCATCATATGTGTTGTGGTTGGCAGCTCCACGTCTTGGAAAATTCTCACCAGGTTGGAATGTTCCTGTCTTTCCCAAAGGGCCTAGCACGGGTTTAGTTCTAGTGTGCCTGAAGCACCTAGGTTTGGGGATGCAGGATTCCACAATAGCTTGACATCTGGGAACCCCCAGACCTTAGCATGTGAGTGTGCACATACTTGCTTCTGTTTTCACCCCCTGCACCCTCTTAGGCTCAGAATGATAACCCCTTGCACTCTTGGGGTTTAATGGTATGAGCCAAGCTGGCCCAGGCCCTCACCCTAGTACTCCTGCTCCCAATTTACACAAAGCCCAGAACTTTCTAAGCCTTCCTGTTCTTTTCTACGGAAAGAAGCACATTTCAAACTTTTGGGGAAGAAGTGTGTCCCATAGATCATTCGGTAAGGAAAGCAAATCTCAACTACTTTGCCCCAACTCTGACACGCCCCTGTGGGGTGGGGAGAGCAGAGAATGTGGGTCCAGAAGCAGCATCTCACGAGAGGGTGTGTCAGACAGGGGAGTCCATGGTTTCAGGGACCATGCAAGCCCCCAAATCTCTATGTAGGGTCACCTACTGCCTCCCCCACTGCTCAATTCTTCATGACAGGGATTCAGGAGGCCTGGGAGAACCAATGTTGCCCCTTAAAGTATCTGCTCCGGGCATCAGCTCCATCTGCCCCTGGAGAGGATGGCTTTTCCTTTGCTCCTGCCTGTGGGTGTGGTGGGATCACATGGGATGGTTGTGGAAGCCTTTGCAAACATAAAGCACTGTATGCGGATTGACATGGATTACTGCAAAAAGAGCAATCATTCCCCCCCAAGCCCTGCTAGGGTTGGTTGTACTTCCCCATTTTTAGGGGAGAATTCCAAGACTTGCTCATGGTAATGTGGCTGTTAAGTGGTCGCACACCCCAGTATACCTGGTCTGCAGGCTCTGGTGGTCCCCCTCTAAGTGACTTTGGAGGGCCTCAGGGCAGGCCAAGATAGCCTGCCTCTTTGTGAGCTTCGGGAGCTGAGGCTCCTGCGCCTGCCCCTGGATGCCCTGTCTTAACCTTGCTCCCTCTGAGCATGGATTTCCTATTTCAGAGAGTACCTTGACTCACATCACTAATGCAGCATCACATTCAATTCTCTTTTTTCTGCCTCTTGTTCAGATGTGCCCTGTCCCCAGCTCTGTTCACCGAGAGCCCATCTGCTGTGAGTGCCAGGCCAAATTTGGGGGCCGCCTGCCGGTGCGCAGGGCTGAGGCAGTGCTGCCTTACTGGGTCCCTCTGTCCTTGAGACCCCAAAAGCAGGTAGGTGACTTGAATCAGAGGTTCAGATTTATGGAGATACGATTGGCATATGATAAATGGCACATGTGTAAAATGTAGTGTTTGATAAATCGTGACATATGCACACACCTGTGAAACCACCACTACAGTTGTGACGATGTACAGTCATCTCTAGGCATTCAAAGGGGATTGGTTCCAGGACCCCTGTGGATATCAAAATCCAGGGTGCTCAAGTCCCTTGTATAAAATGGAGTAGTGCGGTACATGTACGCAACCCTCTCTGCCCCGCGGTCCTCAGGCTACCGTGGGTCTGTTTCTGTCACTAGAGATTCATTTGCATTTCTTTGAATGTTATATAAATGGAAGGCAGCTATGCTCACCACTGTCCACCAACTCACACTATATAAATGGAATCATCTAGTATGTACTCTTTTTGTCTGGCTTCTTTTACTCAACATAATTATTTTTCAGATTCATCCACGTGGTTGTGTGCATTGATAGTTCATTACTTTTTACTGCTGAGTAGTATCGTTATACGGATAGGCCACAGTTTATCCGTTCATCCAGTGAAGGGTGTGTGGATCATTTCCAGCTTTTTCTGTTTTGTCCAACAAATAAAACTGCTGTGAACATTTGTGTACAAGTCTTTGTGTGAACATGCCTTCATTTTTCTTGGGCAAGTACCTAGGAAAGGCATTGCTGCATCATATGGTAGGTATCTGTTTAACTTTTTAAGAAACTGTCAACTGTTTTCCAAAGTGGTTGTACCATTTCACAGTCTCTCCAACAATGTATAAAGTTCCAGTTCCTTCACATCTTCACTAACATTTGGTTTGGTCAGTCTTAAATTTTGGCCATCTTAATACGTGTGTATCTCACTGTGTGTTTTTTTTGGCTGCACAGCTTGCGGGGTCTCAGTTCCCTGAGCAGGGATTGAACCCATACCCTTGGCAGTGAAAACGCGGAGTCCCAACCACTGGACCACCAGGGAATTCCCTCTCATTGAGGTTTTAACTTGTATTTCCACAATGACTCATGATATTGAGCATCTCATTTTTGCCATCTGCATATCTTACTTGATATGTCTTTTTTGCCCCTTTAAAAAACTTGGGTTGCTTTTTTTAGATTAGTGAGTTTTGAGAGTTTTTTATATATCTGAATACAAGTTCTTTACCAGATATTTAATTTGCAAGTGTTTTTTCCACGTCTTTGGCTTGTCTTTTAATTGTCTTATCACTTACTATCTTTCAAAGGGCAGAAGTTTTAAATTTTGATGAAGTCCAATTTATCAATTTAATCTTTCCTGGATCTTGTTTAGGCGTGCCTGTCCCCAGCACAACAATGGATCATGCTTTCTATGCATTTCTAAGAAAGCTTTGCCAACCCAAGGTCAGAAAGCTTTCTTCTATGCCTTCTTCTCGAATTTTTATAGTTTACTGTTTATATTTAGGTCTGTCGTCCATTTTAAGTCAGTTTTTGTATATGGCATGAGGTATGGACTGAAGTTCATTTTTTGTACATGGATGTCCAGTTGTTCTAATACCATATATTATAAAGCTCATCCTTTCTCCACTGACTTGCCTTTACACCTTTGTCAAAAACCAATTGTCCATATACACGTGGGTTTGTTTCTGTTGCGGTATTCTGTTCGCTGATCTGATTGTCTGTCCTCGTACCAGTACTACACTAACTTGATTACTGTGGCTTTATAATTATAAAAAGTCTGGAAATCAGGTAGTGTTAGCTCTCCAACATTGTTTTTCTTTTTCACAGTTGGTTATTGTAAGCTCTTGGCATTTCCACTTGAATTTTAGAATCAGTTTGTCAATTTTTTTTTTTTTTTTTTTTTGCGGTATGCGGGCCTCTCACTGCTGCGGCCTCTCCCGTTGCGGAGCACAGGCTCCGGACGCGCAGGCTCAGCGGCCATAGCTCACGGGCCTAGCCACTCCGCGGCATGTGGGATCTTCCCGGACTGGGGCACGAACCTGTGTCCTCTGCATCGGCAGGCGGACTCTCAACGACTGCGCCACCAGGGAAACCCAGTTTGTCAATTTTTTACAAAAATGTCCTACTGGGATTTTGATTGGGATTGTCTGTAGATCAATTTGAAGAAATTGGCTTCTTAGCCATATCGAGTCTTCTGATCCATGAACATGGTAATTTCTATATTTATTTAGTTTTTTAAAATATTTCTCAGCAGTATTCTGCAGTTCTTAGTGTACAGGTCTTGCACATCTCTTGTCAGTGTTATTTATAAGTATTTCATATTTTTGATGACATTGTTCTTAAAAGTCAGTTTATGTTTGCTCATTGCTAATATTTAGAAATACCATTTATTTTTGTATTTTGATCTTGTATCCCACAATATTGTTAAACTCACTCTGGTAGCTGTTTTTGTAGATTCCATCAGAATTTCTGCATGGATGATTATGTTATTTCCAGATTGAGATGGTTTTATTTCTTCCTTTCCAATCTGAATGCCTTTTATTTATTTTTCTTGTCTGATACCCGGATAAAACTTCTAGTAAACTATTGAAGTGGAGTGGGGAAGACAGACATCCTTTTTTTCCCCTGATCTTAGAGGATACGTTTGAGTTTTCACCATTAAGTATTATGTTAGCTGTAAGTTTGGATGCCCTTTATCAGGCTGAGGAAGTTCCCTTCTATTGCTAGTTTGCTGAGAGCTTTTTATCAGAAATGAGCGTTGGATTTTGCCTGTGTCTATTGAAATCATTTTATAATTTTCCTTTAAGGGTTTGTTAATGTGATGAATTATACTGATTGGTTTTCAAAAGTTAAACCAACCTTTCAAACCCGTTTAATTATGATGTATTAATCCTGGCATCGTAGGATCAGCTGGGAAGCATTCTTTCATGTTCAGAAAGACTCTGTGTAGAATTGGTATTATTTCTTCATTGTGTGTTTGGTAGAATTTGCTGGTGAAGCCACGTGGGCCCATAGCTTCCTTTGTGGGAAGGTTTTCAACTACAAATGTAATTTCTTTCATAGATACAGAGCTATTTAGTTTATCTATTTCTGCATGAGTGAGCTTTAGTAGTTTATACCTTTCAAGGACTTTGTCCATTATACCAGTGTTGTTGAACTTATTGGCATAATGTTGTTCATAATATTTCCTTATTGCCCTTTTAATATCAGTAGACTCTGTAGTGATTGTAGAATGTGGAATCTCTCATTTCTTGTTTTTTAATAGACTCTCAAAGGGGTCAGTGTATCAAGATGACTAAGTCACATTGTTCTAGGCAGAGGTGATAGCCTCAGTCCCTCCTGTTGGTCATTGTATCATTTGAAAGTTGGGCAGAGTAAGTATTATCATCTCCCTTTAGCAGATGGGCAAACTGAGGTCCAGAGAGGGACGGGGGCTTGTCCAAGATCACACACTCAGTCCATAGCAGATCAGGGATTAGAATCTAGGTCTCTGGCTCGGATTCCAGCACTCTCCCCAATGAGTTTTGTTGCTGGGTGTCAGGGGTGAGGGTGGAAGGAATATAGAAGTCAAGGTGCCCAGCACATGTCCCCAGGGTGACTGCCCGGCCTCCCAGCTGGTCTCCTTGCCTACATCCTTTCTAACTCTGACTGTCCATTTTCTGATCTGTAGCTGGTGAGCTTTTAAAACCATATATCTGGTCCTGTCACTCCCCCGTGGAGACCCATTTCCCTCAGAATATGGACCAGGCTCCCTGACACAACCCTTGGGGTCCTTCTTGACCTTGCCCCTGCCTGGATATCCAGTCCCGTTTCCGCTTGCTCCTCAGGCTCCTGTTCGATCAGCAGGGAAGTGTTAGGTGCAAGAAACAGAAAACTGACCCACAGTGGGTTCAACCAGGGTCTTCGGTAGAGAGAGGATTCTTGTAGGATTGGTTTTTTGGCTTTATGATGTCTTCAGGGACCCAGATTCTCTTCATCCTTCCACTCAGAGTGTTTGTGCTGTCATTTCTAGTGTTTTTATATGGTGGCCACAGGTCTGTTTTACACCGTGTTACACATGGCAGAAAGTGAGTCTTTCGGAGTCTTCCAAAGGCTTACTCTCCCACTCTCTCTTTCTTCTCAGGTATAAAACATTCTCAGAAGCCCCGGTTGACTCCTACCCACCCCACAACCAAGACTCTTTGCTGGCAAAGTGGGACTCGCTGATCCCTGGGGCCTGGCCACTTTGCCCCATGAGCAAAATTGGTTTCTTTTAAATTTATTTATATTTTATTCATTTATTTTTGGCTGCATTGGGTCTTCGTTGCTGCACACGTGCTTTCTCTAGTTGCGGCGAGCAGGGGCTACTCTTTGTTGCGGTGCACGGGCTTCTTATTGCGGTGGCTTCTCTTGTTGTGGAGCACGGGCTGTAGGCGCACCGGCTTCAGTAGTTGTGGCACGTGGGCTCTAGAGCGCAGGCTCAGTAGTTGTGGCGCACGGGTTTAGTTGCTTCGCGGCATGTGGGATCTTCCCAGACCGGGGCTCAAACTCGTATCCCCTGCATTGGCAGGCGGATTCTCAACCACTGCGCCACCAGGGAAGCATCCCCCCCCTTTTAAAAAAAATGTAAATGGTAGCATACGGTGCTGCATTTCCCACTTAATATCGTGTCTGTATGCTCATTCTGTGTCAGGACAGACAGGTCTGCCTCATTCTTTCCAAAGGCCACCCATTCCCTCTGTTCCCATGTCCATTATTTATTGTCCCTTATTATAGGCATTCAGGCTATTTGGTTACTACAGCCAATGCTGTACTGAGTGTTCTTGAGCAAATGCTCATGTGTCCTCCTGGGATACAGTCCCAGGAGTGCAATTGCTGGACCAAAGACTATCCATTTTAGACTCTGACCAATGTTGTCAAGATTCTGGCAGAGCCCTCTCTCTAGCCGAGAATGCTGTGGCTCAGAGAGGCCAAACGTTGTGCCCAAGGGTTGTTCCTGGAGGCTGCCAGGCTCAGGACAGAGCCAGGCCTCCCAACTCCCACCCCTGTGTCCCGCCACAGTACCACACAGATGCCCCACTGCAGAGGTGCAGGTGGTGGGTCGTGAGGGTGCCAGCCACTCCTGGGAATATCATGGAATGGGGACCTGCTCCCTCAGCTGGGCTGTTGGGGTGTGCTGTGGGCGGGGCATAGGAGAGGCGCTCTCCAGGGCCCTGTCCCCGAGGCTGAGGTTGTCTGGGGCGTGGCTGTACCCCGCTTTGGACCTTCTCTTCCCTTCCTCTGTTAGATCCAAAAGATGGTCTGGTTTTATGTCCCCCAAACCACCAAGGCATGCCCCTGCCCATGCCACCACTTTGGGGGCCGCCTCACGATGCCTAGGGATCAGGCCGTGATGCCCTACTGGGTGCCCCAGGTCCTGAGGTCTCACAAGAAGGTAAGAGGGAGGCTCGCATGGCAGCGAGGCCTGAAAGTGAGAGGCGGGCTAAGGAGGGACCCAGAGATGAGGGAAAGGGTGCTGGGTTCTTTCCCCACAGTGGTCTCCATTGATGTCTGGGGGCCTTCTGGAAGCTGTGGCCTAGGGCAGCAGAGTGCAGGAGGCAAGTGGTACTCAGGGCAGGCCCAGGCCAGGTGTCCTGGTGGTGTTGGGAAGGGTGGGGTGCACTGCTTTCTGATGAGGGTGCCCACTGCTGCTGTCAGCTTTCCGGCCATGCCTTCTGTCCCCTCCTCCCTCTCCTTGCCTCCTCTCCCCCTCAGCTCTCTCCGCCTCTCTGAGCATTCTGCACTTGTAGCCCCAGCCTGGCAGGCCTGGAGGGAGGGTGCTGGGGAAGGACCACTGCTCTAGTGTCTGTCCTTGCTCTTTGGCTCCGTCTGGTACCTCCACAGCTCTGGGTTCCAGGTCAGCAACTGTGGTGGGAGATGGTCAGCCAGGTCCAGCCCAACTCAGCTCCAGGGCCAATTCTCTCCCTTGTCTGAGTGTCCTGGAGTTAGAGGCTTCCTTCTGCCTTCACCCACATTCCAGCTGCTGGTTTTCTGTCATCAAGTAGCATACTGCCCCCAGAATTAAGACCCAGAGGCTTTTTAAAAGGAGAACACAACTTGCATTCTGAGCTGGCCATGGACCCCTTCCAGGGGGTTTCCAGGCCAAATCACTGGGACCCCTTCTTGGTGGATCACTGGGGCTGACAACGCTTGCCCACATCCTTATCTTTGATCTTAGGTGGTGAAAAGGCAGCAGAGTTTTAAAGGCATCCCAGGTAACTCATTGCTCACGTGTCTCATCCCTTCCCTGTCCCCAAGGAAGGCGGGGGTCTCATGAACATCATGATGGGGTGGGGGAGACTTCTGTCATCCCCAGATGGGTGTAACACAAAGAAGACCACAGACTGGCGCACACATCACTTCTCCCACCCCTACCCTCACCAGGCATCACTAATCATCCCCCATGTTTTGCCAGTGAACCCAGAGAAGACTCAGACTCTACCAGTTATCAACATTGGCTCTCAGGAAGAAACCAATTTGCAACCTGGGGTTAGGTGGTATCTGAAGTGTTTTTTAAGCTCTACTCTTCTATAATTCATGATATGGTATGTGTATGTATGTGTTGTATATAAATATGTATTTATGACATAGTATATATGTTGATGTATTCCTACTTTCATATATTCATGACACATTATATGTTCATGGCACCACATTTATGCATATATTCATCATACAGTATATTCATACGTTCATATGTTCATGACAGGCATAGCACATACTCGCATGTTCATATGTTCACAGTGCAGTGTGTAGTCATGACAAGGTGTGTTCGCATATCCATATATCTGCGGCCTGATGTATGCATGTACTCACGTGCTCAGTCATGGTGCTCCAGGAGGTGGTGTCTCCACCCGCACCTTTACTTTCTTTGTCTCTAAAATGAGTGGAGGTGCTTTCCCTTGCAGATAGCCGACACGTGTGCTTTCTCTGCATTGCATGTGAGCAAAGGAGTGGACGATTTGTTGGCTCAGATCACACCCTCCCCTTTTCATGCTGGGGCCAGAGGGCATAGTGAGTCCCCTTGATGGACTCTGTGAAGGAGGGACTGGACGGGTACTGAGAGGTTGGATGTCTGACATGGGGTTCCTGTGATGTGCAGGTGATTTGAGAGGCCCGCCCAGGGGCACTCAGCTAATGGGGAGAGTGCTTGGGAAACGAGCAGCCACTACCCCACACGCCTACCTCTTCATGCAGAAGATAGCTAATTTTTTCTTGATTTTAAAAGTAGCACAGTTAGGAGGAGCACGAATTGTCACGGCCTTTGGCGGGAGGTTTGGAGGTATCTATCAAATTTTATAACGTGCACAATCTTTAATCCAGCAAGCCCACATCTGGGTAATACATGTAGACACTCTACGCATGTCTGTCTGCGGCAGTGATTTCCTCGGCAAAAAACTGGAAGCAACCTAAGTGTCTCTCAGTGGGAGGATGGACATGAATGGGGGTGCATTTGAAATGTGGCACCAGCTGCCTAGAGTTCGGAACTGTTAGGGATGATGAAATGGACTCCCACACACATTGCAGTGTAGGAAAAAAAGTCACTGTAGCCCAGGCAATAGGACTCCATTAATGTCAGTTTTAAAAATGAAAGCTCTGTTTGTGCGTAGGTGAAGGCTGGTATCATTTGTCTCAGCTGACAGTCACAGGTAACCTCTGTGGGTGGGGAAGGGGGCAGGTCAGGCCCAGCAAAGGGAGGCTCTTGGTGGGGTGCATGATGAGCAAAACAGGTAGCAATACGTTGCTTCAAGCTTCAGGTGGAAGAGCCAGAAATCACTTTATCAAAAACAAAACAACAAACAAAAACGGAAAAACAAAAAAAAGGCAGGAGAATGAGAACCACCTGAGAAAGTACTCTTCTCACCCTATAATCACTGATATATGGGCTTATTTTTATTGGTTGTTTTGGCTTTGAACACTCTGCATCTTTAAGAAAGTCTAAAAGCTCAGTCAGTTTATTGTTGAATAATGCATCCACTGATACGTTGTTAAAAACCAGTATTAATTTTTACTCCAGCCATTGTTTTATAGTTCAGGTGATTTATGTTAATGTTTCAAGCCTCAAACCCATTCAAGCCAGAAGGTGTTCATAGGACAGGAGTGAGAGTGCGAGTCTCACTGCTGCCAGGAAGATAGGGATCCTTCTCTATTTGACCTGAGCTTTGTATGGAGTGACTTAAAAATATGGGATGGTTCCCTTGGCCTCAAATCCAGCTGATTTCTGTGTTTCTGATCTTGTATTTTCCTTGTAAATAGAGGGCTCATGTGCTTTTCTTCTTTATGCTTTTGTGGTAGAATTTTTTATAAGGAAAATATACTTTATATTGAGCGCATTTTATATTAGTATAATTAGAGTGTACATTTTATAGTAGTAGCATATTAATAGTGTAATAAAGTAAATAAGAGATATAACATCAAGAGGGTCACATGTGACAAAAGCAGGTCTTGAAAAAGCTAAAGAGCGTCAAGGAGATGGAGATGTTTGAATTCTGTTTGTGAATGTGGTTGTTGTTAACTTCTTATTATGGGAAATTTCAAATACTCCACTAAAGCCCAAGTTTCTGTCACTCATCTATAGCCATGATCAGCTCCTGGTAGATGTGGTTTCATATGTGCTTCACCCACTCCATCCCCACCTCCAAAAAAAAAAAAAAAAGAAAAAAATGAAAAAGAAAAAGATTAATGTGGAGCATATCTCAGCTAACTACCATATCATTTCATTCATAAATATTTCAGTAGGCAGCTCTAAAAGATAAAGACTCTGAAAATGCAGCCACGAGGCCCTGCAGTCACCCTAGAAACAAACAAACAGCAGTGCTCTCTTCATCTCAGTGGGCGCCATGTCAGTGCCCACACCCCTGGGCTGTGACCTGCCTTGTTGGGACACCTGGTTTCCTTGCCCTGGGTTCCAGAGGGCTCTCTCACGGGTGCAGACTTGAGAGCATCCTGTCCCCACACCCCGCTGAGGCCTGACTCACTTTCTCTGCCTAGAAGTCCCCCTGGATGTGCGCTCTGGGTACAACCGCTGGAGAATCTGTGGTGAAGGGCGCCGTCTCCTCAAGTGGCAGCAGCTCCAGGCCCTTCACCAGGCTGCGCTGGTGTCCCCGGGGCAGCCAGCAAGCCTCCTGGCCTCCCTCCTGCCCCTCAGCCTCAGCCTCCTGATCCTCGTCCAGGCCCTACTGAGTGTCATCGTGGCCATCTGGTGAGCAGGTGTGGGTGGGGCAGTGGTGGCCTTGGGCTCATCTCACTCCCAGGGTTTAGTTGAGTTGAGAATGTGGGAGAACTTGGTTGTTGCTCAGCAGAGGGTGAGAGATGAGCATGGCCATGATTCCTGTTGCGTTGTTACCATTGTCTGGACTCTTGCTCACACCTGACACAGGTATCTTCCAGAAAATGCAAGGGAAGAGCAATCCAGATATGCCAGGGCCAGGGCTGATGGTGGGGAGGTGGGGCGTCTTGGGACCACCCACTATTCTTTCCTCACCTCTTCCCTGTTCCCAAGTTCCCAAATTCCCCTGCCCCCAAAAGACCATTGGTTCCAGTTTCTGCAGATTTCTGTTGTGTTGGGGTTGGAAGTGGATTTTAAGCCAGCTTGACAAGCCAGCCTTCTGAGGTCTGAGCGCACCGCACCCTCGGGGGACCTGCTGCCTCTCCCCTCTCCCCCAGCCCAGCCCCAACCATCAAGGCTCCATATTGAAAAGCCCTTTCTCTGGCCTCGGACCCACTGCCCTTGCCCAGGCCTGTGTTTCTCTCTTGGAACCCCACTCAGTCCCCCACCACCACCCCGGAAGCCTCCAGGGCGACTTCAGTTTCAAGACAGGGTGTCCCCTTACCTGGTTGTTTGCTTTAGTTTTCTTGGAAAAAGCTCTGCTCCTCCATCTCTAAACTCCGCTGCCCCAGTTTACCCATCTCCCCAGCCATTACCCCCATCCACCCTCTTCTTTCTGTTTCTTTTATCACACCTATATGTGAATACGTGCAAACACATACACACAGATATGTAAATATGCAAATACATATCAACATGTAAATGTATCAATTCGAATTTACATATATTGACTTGTTTGCGTTTTGTCTGTCTCCTCCACACAGTTGTAAGGGCAATGTTCTAGAAAATGTCCAGTATCTGAAAACAGTTTCAGATGTCTTCTGCCCAGTTTTCTAGTTGTTCAGACAGGAAGGTAGCCCTGTCTTTGTCCCACCATCTTGTCTGGAAGTGGAAGTTCCTCTCCCAGCATCCTGCTTGTCCACTCTCCTAGTATTGGGCACTCCCTGCAGTCACATATGATGTTGTGATGCACATCTGCATACGAGTGCCTATATGGACCTGGGTTGCAACTTCTCTAGGGCCAGTGCCCCCAGGAAGGGGCCAGGAGGGGGTCCGTCAGCTTTGCGTGATCTGTGAACCTTAGTGGGGCAGCATTGTGAGATTTCCTTTTTTTTTTTTTAAGTTTCATCTTTCTGTCTGTGTTTGCCATCTCGATGTCAAATTTAGTTGGACTCCCCGGTTCCCCCTCTGGGAAGAGCAAAGAAAGAAACTTGTCTGTAGATCGTCTGTGTTAAGTAGTTGGTCCAGGTGGGCCAAAGGAAAATTGCTAATGCTTTTATAAGAGGTGTTTGCTTCAGAGCCAGGATCTTAGGGCAGAGGTCAGGCACCAATCACCTGTTTAGGAGAAATATCTTACCTGCCTGAGGTGTATGTGGGGTGCCCTGTGAGATCCCCCAAAGCACACGCCCAGCTTATCTCAGGAGAGGCTGCTGGCCCATCTGCTGGCCTGGCAGAGACTTGCTAGAACTTCAGAGACCTCAGGAGATCAGGTGAGCTCTGAACTGCCCGACAGGGAGCCCTGAAGAGTAGTGATGAGTCAAGCACTTGCCTTTGTGGCTGGACTTACCATAGCCTTCATTTTATTTGATTCCTTCCACAGTTCTGCAAAGCTGGGATTCTCCTCGGAGTTCCAGAAGGGGAGAGTGGGCTCTGGGGGTTGAGTGCGTCGCCTCAGGTCCCACAGCTGGAAAGTGAGTCAGCCAAGGCTGAACCCTGTTTTCTGCCTGGGCTTCTCAGGGACCAAGCGTACATCCCGCTCTGTGGTGGGGTTTCCTTCACCCTCCACCCCTCAGAGGTTCCCCGAACAGGCCCTGCAAGGGCAATGTGGTTTCAGTTTGGGGGGCAGTTCCTAGTAATTGCCTTTCTCTTTGCTTTCTAGCCAGTTTTTTTTTTTTTTTTTTTTAATTAATTTTTTTATTTTTTTATTTTTTGCGGTACGCAGGCCTCTCACTGTTGTGGCCTCTCCCGTTGTGGAGCACAGGCTCCGGATGCGCAGGCTCAGCGGCCATGGCTCACGGGCCCAGCCGCTCCGCTGCATGTGGGATCTTCCCAGACCGGGGCACGAACCCGTGTCCCCTGCATTGGTAGGCGGACTCTCAAACACTGCACCAGCAGGGAAGCCCTCTAGCCAGTTTTTTTGGGTTTGAAGTTGGAATCAACAGCTACTGTCAAGAACATCAACACAAATGTTAGTCATACTCAAGGTCTTTAACGAAAGCCATCACATCAGGAAGAGTCTGTAATAGCCACTGTTTTCTCAGATTATATAATTCACATCCAAGAGTCAATCCAAATTATTTATCATCAGGTTGTAGTGGAGTTGTGTGAATGCGGGTGGGATTCCATTATGAGTACAGTCAATAAATGTTATTTGTGAAACTCTTAAAGTGGCTACTTTAAAAATGATAACCTGTGATTTTCCTTTGTGAAGGTGGAACTTGTTCTTCACCTCTGTGTCCCTGTGGGAGGGGGCCCATCACTGAGTCTCTCTTCCCTTCGCAAGGACAGCAGATCCTCTGGATGAGGATCCTGAAATGGTTTTAACACCTGTTTCATGTGGGTCTCACTTTAAGTAACATAAAATTGCATGTAATTTGAATTTTTAAAAACTGAAATATCATTCACATACCATAAAATGCACCTTTTTACTGTGTATGATTTAGTGGGTTTTGCTATATTTACAAGGTTGTGCAATCATCACTAGTATCTAATTCCAGACCTTTTTTGCCCCCAAAAGAAACCCTATACCTATTAAGCACTCACTCCCCCTTCCCTTCTCTCCCCACCCCTGGAAACCAGTAACCTACTTTCTCACTTTTCCAACTCTGGACATTTCATATAAATGGAATCATATAATATGTGTCCTTTGTGTCTGGCTTTCTTTTGTTTGGCATAATGTTTTCAAGGCTCACCCACATTGTAGCATGTGTCAGTGCTTCATCATTCCTTTTTGTTTTTGGCTGCGTTGCGGCATGTGGGATCTTAGTTTCCTGACCAGGGATTGAACCATCACCCCCTGCAGTGGAAGCACAGAGTTTTAACCACTGGGTCACCCACGAAGTCTGCTTCATTCCTTTTTATGGCTGAATAATATTGTATTTTAGGGACATGCCACATCTTGTTTATCCATTCATCAGTTGGTGGACATTGCTTTGTTTCTGCTTTTTTGGCTATTATGAATAATGCTGCTGTGAACATTTGTTTACAGATTTTTGTGTCAATATGTTTTCATTCCTCTCGGGTATGTACCTAGGAGTGCTGAGCCATAGGTAACTCTCTTTAATGTTTTGAAGAGCTGCCTCAATTTTCCATGGTGAAAAACTGTACACCATTTTGTATTTCATATTCCCACCAGCAAGGTATGAACTTTCTGGTTTCTCTGTGTCCTTGCCAACACTTGTTATTATATGTTGTTTTGATTTTAGCCATCCTTGTGGGTGTGAAATGGTATCTCATTATGATTTTTTTTTTTTTTTTTTTTTTTTTTTTGGTGGTACGCGGGCCTCTCACTGTTGTGGCCTCTCCTGTTGTGGAGCACAGGCTCCGGACGTGCAGGCTCAGCGGCCATGGCTCACGGGCACAGCCGCTCTGCGGCAAGTGGGATCCTCCCGGAACATGTTGCGAATCCGCGTCCCCTGCATCGGCAGGAGGACTCTCAACCACTGCCCCACCAGGGAAGCCCTTTCTTTGTGATTTTGATTTGCATTTTCCTAATGGCTAATGACACTGAACATATTTTCATGTGCTTATTGGCCATTTGTATAGCTTCTTTGGAGAAATGTCTGTTCAAACCAATTGCGTATATTTTGATTGGTTATCTATTTCTTTGTGTCACTGTTGAGTTTGTGTTCTGTATATATTCTGGATATTAGATCTTTATCAGATAGAGCTTCTGCAAATATTTTCTCCTCTTCTGCTGGTTGCCTTTTCACTTGCTTGATGATATCCTTTGAAGTCCAAAAGGTTTTAATTTTGGTGAAATCCAATTTTCAATGATTTCTTAGGTTGCTTGTGCTTTAGGATATATGGTCATATCTAAGAAATCATTGCCTAATCCAAGGTCACAAAGATTTACTCATGTTTTCTCCCTAAAGATTTATAGTTTAGGTCTGACATTTAGGTCTTTGACGTATTTTGAGTTAATTTTTGTATATGGTGTGAGGGTAGCGGTCGGGGTTCATTCTTTTGCATGTGGATATTCAGTTGTCCCATATAACATTCCTGAAGCGATAAAATTATAGAAATAGAGAACAAAGTAGTGGTTGCCAGGGATTCAGGAGAGGGTGAGGTGGGAGGGATGTGGGTGTGACTATACAAGAGCAACATGAAGCATCCTCGAGGTGAAAGAAATATCCTCTATCTTGACTTTATCAATGTTCTGCTGTGAAATTGTATTATAGTTTTGCAAGACTATAATTGGGGCAAACTGGAAAGGGTAACATGGGATCTCTCTTTCATGTAAATCTACAAATATCTCAAAAGTTTAATTTAAAAAACAGTACAGTTTGCTTTGGAAAATTTTGAGAATAGAGAAACATGTGATATACAGATTTTAAAAGTACTAAATTATGTACTTTTATTCCTGGGACCTCATTTAATTCTTACAATTCTCACATTTAATTCTTGGAAGCTGAGATAATTATTGTTATCCTGTTTTTGAAAAAGGGGAAACTGTTGTCCCAGAGAGGGTCTTTTGTGGCTGCACAGGACCACCCATGGCCACATGGGGTCACATGGGACTACAAGGGACCACACAAGACCACACAGAACCAGGATCTGTCCCATAACCCTGTTTCTTTTAAATGCTGATACCTTCCTAGCCTATATCTCAGCTTCACTATTGCTGGAAGTTTTCCAGATAGCAGTTCTTTCCAAAAT